AAAAAAAGAGAAGGACTGGGGGGAGAAGGCGCAGCGATGGGTATCACAGGGCGCTGCCGCAGCCGGCAGAGAGAGGGTGCCGGCGCGGCGCTGAGCCCTGCCGTGCGCCCGCGGCGCCCGACGGCTCCCGGCGGGCAGCGGCGGCACCGGCACCGCCCCGCGCCCGGCCCCGCTCAGCCCCCGCGGCGGCGGAGAGAGCCGCGCACGTGCGCGCCCGGCGGCGCCGAGCCCCGGCCCCCGCGCCCGGCCCGGGCGCGCCGCAGCGGCGGCGGCAGCGGCGGCAGCAGCGGCAGGCGGTGGCGGCCCCGGCCCCGCGGCCCCGCCTGGCCCCCGCGGCGGCGGCGGCGAGCGGCGATCCCCCGTCCGGCCGCGTCCCGCAGGCTGCTGCGTGCGCCCCGCGCCGCATGCACCGACCCACCCCCGCCCGGGCCGCTGCGCGCCGCAAGAGCTCTTTTCCAGCTCCCTCCTCCTTCCTCCTCCTGCCGAAACGCCAACCCCGCGCCGCGGATCGGCGAGGCAGCGCCGCCGCCCCGGCAGCCCTCCCGCGGGTCGCAGGCGCGGAGCCGGCCGCCCGGCGCTGGCCGCAGCGCTGCGCCGCTCTCTCTCCCCGCCGGCCTCCCCCGCGGCGCTGGGGCTGGCCCCGTCCCCTGCGGCTCTAGCGCTCCGCCCGGCGCCCCCCGCCTGCCGCCCCCGGCCCCTCGGCTCTCCCTGCGCGGAGCGGACGGGTGCCAGCAGATAACATCACGGCCGCGCAGGGAGAGGGAGATTTATACGATCTCCCCGCCCCACGTGCTCGCCTCGCTGCGAAGTGACGTGGAGGGGCTGCGGGAGCGGAGGGCTCCGCGCCGCCGCCCGGCTATTTATTCCCCTCCGCAGCCCGGCCGCCGTGCCTGCCGCTGCTGCCGAGGTGCCTCGCCCCGGGGCGAGGAGAGGCGAGGCAGCCCGGAGCCGAGAAGAAAAAGCAAGTCCTGCCAGGCTTTTACATAATTTTATTTATTTTTTAAATAAAGGCTTCAGTCCTTCTTGCACCTATTATTAAGTAAGTGGGCCAAATACCACTCTGGTTTTAGAGGAAGAATAACACGCCTCTTGGACACCGCTCACATGCGTTCCTATTATTCAAGGTTGCTGCTGTTGAGGCTCTGCCCGCTGCACTGTCACAGAACGCTCTTCGCACTATCCCTCGGTTTCACTTCCAAACGTGATTTGGGTAACTCTCATTGCTCCTCGGGCAGCTTGGTGATCAGTACTACTGCCTAACTAGGGAGAGCCGAGAGATGAAGAGGATTTGCTCCTTCTCCGAGGTCTCTTCTCCTGTCAAAAGCATGCAAATACATCCTCATCTGCACTTGACAGAAACTCTCAAGCCCCAAATGCTTTGGCCATGCCTGTAATTCATTTTTTCCGCTGCCTCTTTTGGCCACAACAAACATCACAGGCTCCATCCCTATCCTTCTCTGCCCCAGGGAAATCACTCTACAGCCTACTAGGCATCCCTCAACTTAACGCCATAAAGCTTTTCCTTTACAGTCCATTTATTACCCCTGTACATTAACTTTATAAAGTGATCAAGTAGCCTTTTTCTTTATTCTCACCCATTTTAGCCTTATATTCCCCTCTGAATTAAGTTGTCACTGATTTAACTTTCCAGAATTTCCTATTACACTATCCTAGGTGGGTCAAGGCTATTTCTGAAGAAAATCTACTTTATTTCCAGAGATGAAGAAGCATGGAGAAGAGGTACTCGAAGGGCCACAGATGTTCCAAAGAGATGTTCCAAAGAACAGGTTGACCATTGGCAGCCTTTTTATGGGTAAACACACATAAGAGAGATTAGATAGGATGACTGGGATCTATCTGAAAGCACAATGAGAATCATGTAAGGCCTAAACAAGCCAAACATCACCAAAGACTTCCTCCAGCTGACCTCATCTCAGGAACCATCTTTTCTGCAAAATGTTCAAATATTTGCCGAAGCTGGAGAACAGCAGTCCCCAAATTAAATGCAAATTTTTCCTTGCCCGTGAGGAAAAGTGCTTCCTCTGAGCAGCTGTGGCTGTGTGCTGGGGTGATGGAGGCACCCAGCAACATGGAGCTGCCACATACTGTTTGCCTTGGCAGGGCTCTGCAGCAGGGAAACCTTGCACCAACACGGCCAGCTAACCTCGTATTGCTGTGGATACCAGCAACGACAAGATTCTCTGAGAGATGGAGGAGCTGAGAAAATATATTTTTGAAAAGGTATGTGTACACACACAGACTCTGAAAGTAAACTTATTCTTCATTCTTTAACAGCATGTGGGTATGTACATAACAGAGCCAAGACTGCATTCTCCCGATGCAAGAGTTAATGGTGCTTTCCATTTAAATCCGTGAATTCCTGCAAGGCCAGATTAAACGTCTCTGCCACAACATCACACTTTTACTGCTGTACATGTCAATGTCCTGCTCCTGCTGACCTCAAAAACACAGCTGCAGTGTCAGGAATGGCAATGTTTCCAAAATTACTCAAATAAACAAGCAAGCTCAACATGTAGACTCAGCTGGTTTTACTTCTGCAACACACCTGTACAAAACCAAGGGGACAGTTCCTCGAGCTGTTACATCTCACAGCTCTGCTGCTAACCAGCTGAGGAATCAGCTCTGTTACACGAGGTACCTCAACCGCAAATACTTCCCAAGAAAAGGGTTATTAAATTATTTCCTCCAAAAGCTACAGCTGAAATCATGGTGAAATTCCTTATACAGCAACTATGGCCCTGTAACACTTTGCTGCTGTAAATGTGCTGCCTGCCACTCACCTCAAGGGCTTCAGAGCAGAGACTGGGACAGTGCTCAACACCCTCCTTCTGCAGGGAACCTCCCACCATCTCTCAGGATACCTCTGCAGATACAGCCCTACGAGCTGGCAAAGTGTTTTGATCCTTTATTAGTGGTGGAAAAAAAAATTTAATCCCCCCCCAACCCAAACTTCATAGTATCTTTCACAAATCCTGGAGCCTTAGGGATGGCATACTGAAGGCCGTCAACCCCCACGAGCTCAGTGCTCGTCTAGCCAGGATACTCATGCAGCCAAAGGAGTTCTAAGCTCCAGAGGAGCCCTCCACGAAAGCCACCAGAGATCCAGCCAGGGTGACAGCAAACCAGCTCAACTGGTTTTTGAAAGTTGCTGAGATTCCTTCAGAGTTGTCAATTATTCCTCAGTGTCTTTTAGACCAGCTAGGAAAAAAAGAAAATAAGGATAAATCTTGGGTTTGTTCCCATTTGAGACAAACCCTTTTCTTCTCCTCTGACCTTTTCAGTGTGACACAGGGTGTCAGGCTTACCCAGGTGCATGTCTCCATTTTGCCTCACCACTGCAACAAAGCTTGATTCCCTAAAACCTTCTGATGTAACTATGGTGATGTTTTTGCCAGGCACAACTTCCCAGGCATAGCAGCATTCTCCATTCCAAAAGTCCCAGCCACTTGAGCTAAATCCCCAGCAGCTGCAGAAGCCCACCACACATGCCTGAGCTGCTCCAGTTTGCTCCAGGAAGGGACACCTATCTGCCAGCCAAATCATTCAAATACACACCCACATTCATAAACATCGACTTTCCATTATGTAATCTAAATGGAAAATAACTGGAATGTATACATCATGATATACCTGATATTATTTCTAAAATCTCTCCCCTGCACATTTAAGGGTTTTTTTCACCACAGCAGTCCTTTAACTATACTCAAACAGGTGCCATTTCTACCTTGTTAAAGGGAACAACAACAGAAGAGGCAATCCAAAATTATCAGAAATGATAAAGCCAAACTGTGGGCACTCTACAAAGCTGGATAAAGCATAGTATTATCAGAATTCAATTATAGCATGATCTTCTGCCCAGGTAATCCAGCTTCGAAACTCTGCAGTTAATTTTTGGGACTGGTACATCTGTCAAAATTATCCCAATTATGGCTTTGTATTTTAGCCTGAAAAGCTTTTTGGTTTTGATTCATTCTGAAATAGTTTTTATTTGATGACTACCTGTTCCTTTCAAAAGCTGCTGAGATTATCAGACACTAACTCAGCTTACACTTATCTCTTCTTTGTGCTTCTATGAAATGGCCTTGTCCTCTGGGACTGCTGTCAGTGGAAGCTTTGTAAGTCAAAAAGTAGGAATAGGCCCTTAGCGTGCATATAGGGAAAGAACAGAACTTATCTGTTTTGGAGTTTTATTCAATACAATACTGTCTTTTTACGTATATATATATATATATTTTAATAAACAGTAACTGTTTATTAGAAAAACAGAGACACCTGGAAAGTTACTTCACTAAATGTAAAGGTTTCATGTTTCCTATTAACTTAAAAATTACGTGGTCGGGATTTTACAATTTGTGGTTTCTTTTTAGATTGTTTTGGTTTTACGCAAATGTGCTGTGCAAAATACAAAGGCAATAATCTTTCTAAAACTGCTGACGACCAGGTCATTAAGTAAGGTGGCTGGCCAGATTTCATAAACTAA